TCACTAATTCATCTTTATCAGTGATTGGCTAAACTGCTTCTTAGACCCGCCTCTTTGGTCCTGGCTAGAGCCCAACTGAGACATGCGGAAAGAACGCGCTGATATCATATCCAAACACAGTCATGCCCGCACGTCATTTTGCGGTGCGCGTATACACAGCGTTAGCACGTAGCTAACTAGCTAGGTAAACCTCCCGGTGTAGAAGTCTCTACAGAAGCTCAGAACGACTCGTTTACTCAGATTTTCAAAGAAAGATGCACTATAGCCAGCATGTACAACATTCACTGCCTTCAACTTAAATAAGGGCGACCTGTTTCACAGATTTTCAATTATTTGACCTAAGACCAAGAGTCTCCATGACTATTTGATGGCCAATTGGCATAGACAAAGTAACCATTACGGTGAGCTTGGGCCCCACGCAGAGACATAAGATGGCCTCCCTCGCTGTGAAAAGTGTGAAGAAGCAAAGGTGTTAGAGAAAAACCTTCAGTTACAGACTGCTGAGCGCGCCAGAGCCGCACCACGAGAGCTCAATGTCATCTCACAGCTTTCAGGGGAGAGCGAGATCCTGGCGAGGATGCTGAGGGAAGGGAGCAGAAACAGTGGGAAGGGTAAGGTTGATCTCCAGGAAGGAAGAAGGTTGTGGGGGCTAATCCAAATCCATCACCGGCACACACATGCACACACACAAATGCAGGGCCGAAAGGTCTGTAGTGTGTGCCGCTTTAATAATGATGAAATACATGGCAGTGATGTGTACAGCAGCCAGGTGCATGCTGGGAACACTTGCTTTCACTAATCTGTAAGATGCCGGTGATCCACGGCTCGGGCAGACAGACACACACTCGCTCACCTGCACGCACTGGCCGATGTAGAACAAAAGGTAACGCCAATACACATCTGGGTGAGTCTTCACTTAGAAGTCAAAGCCACAAATGAGCTGTCCCACTTTTATTAAATGTCAAATCACATCATGTCTCCGTCGGGGGCCCTCTCACGTCACTCTTGGGTTTCACAATATTACATTGCAGGTCAGGCTGATCGGCTGCAATCTGCTGTCCCTGCAGGACTTGTTCGCTTCCAGGTCTCTGAAGCAGCTAAAAAGATCGCGGCCGACCCCTCTCACCCCGGACAAAACCTGTTTGTGCCCCTTTCATCTGGCAGGAGGCTGAGGTCCATCAGGACTACGACCTCCCGCCACACCAACAGTTTCTTCCCGTCGGCAGTCGGGCTCATCAACAGAGCCGGTCCCCCACTGACTGACTATAACACTCCACCGGTCACTCCCCCTCACACTGCACACGTCACTTTAACTGTAATTCATCACTTTGTCACTTGTCACTTTGTCTCTTGTCTGTTACTTGTTCGTTAGTGCACTTTATGCTTAATATTTTTCTTTTTAACTTTTTAATATTACATTTTTTTTAACTTTATTCCCTTGTTTTATACTAACCCATAGCCTTAGCCTTATTCTACTAACCCATTGCATTAGCATTTCATTCCACTTTACTTTATTACTTGTGCACTGTTGTCTTGTCTGTCTACTGTCGCGCACTAACCGCCAAGACAAATTCCTTGTATGTTTGACATATTTTGGCTAATAAATGTTTCCTGATTCCTGATTTATCCCATGGCTTTTTACTCAAAAGAAGAGCTCCTTACTACATCTCATTGCTCTTTCTCAAGGTGTCAGTGATCCCTCACTGCTCGACCTCACCTTCTTCTTGAAACGCGGTGCAGAACACTGTAGTGTCGAGGAGATTTGATTTGACTTTGTCTGAGGCAGTCTTCCCCGCAATTTCCTTATGAATGAAAATACATTTGTCAGAGGATCCCATCGTGCGACTATGGGCAGCTCATCTCCGTCAAGACAGATTTGACCCTGATCGTTTTCACAAATGAACACCAATGATGATTTTTGACATACATTTATACCGTGGAGTATAGTATACTACGGCCCTGCATTGTTTTTAGAGAATGTCTCTCTTTGTGCTGGACAGAAAGCGTGCAAAGTAGGGGACTGGCTGGTGAATGAAAAAAACTAAGTGAATATTGGACTTAATTGGCCGAGTCCCCAGACTATAAATACAAAATGCTGCATTGGGCATGACAGAAAAATGCTTGCTATTTGATTAAATAAACTAATGGCTAAAGACTTGATTACAGTTTGACAATGTTGTATTTCACAGCTTTTGAGTTTGGCTAAATAATTAAGGTTTTTACAGATCTTTAATACATGATACCCGCCGTCATCATTTATTATTAAGATACTTATCATTTTTACAGCTGTAAAAAAATATCTATATGTATATAAGCAATTATTAATAATGCATTGTGACAATAACAAGGCACATGAGGCATTATAATGTGATTATATGTAAGTGGGCATTTAGTGCTTTAATAGAACAGTGTTTATATATATTAGCAGTTAAATTCACTCCCACTTTCTTCTTCCCATGTTCATCTTGTAGTTATTGTGTCACGGTGTGGTTTATTTCCTGTCGTATTTTGTTGTTTCTGCTTCTTGTCTCCCTGGGTAACTTCACTTACTACCTCCCTTACCTGCCTTGTCCTGTCATCCCCTGTGATTGTCTGATTGTTTCCTCTTGTGGCCAATCACCTGACAGAAATTCTGTCAGGGATGCGGGGAAGGCAGGAGTCACACGCAGACTTTAAAAAAAAAAAGACTTTTTAATAGTCAATATACCAAAAGCAAAAGGCCAAGGGGCAAAAATGCACACAGGAACCAGGGCAAAAAGGCAGGCAGAAACTAAAAACATCTAGGACATTCGACAATGACGCGACAAGTGACAAGAGACACACAGGGCTTAAATACACTAGGGAGGTGCAGGTGATGACAAGGCAGGAAGTGAAGTTACCCAGGGACACAAGAAGCAGAAACTACAAAATAAGACAAAAAATAAACCACACCGTGACATATTGTGCAGCACGCATGTTTACATGTTTAATGAAAAGCCTGATAAGTAGAAGTCAATCCTTGATTTTAAAATACTTTATTCCATAAACAATATCTAAATTTAACTCGGTTGGGCACATACACAGTAAGGATAGAAAATGCTTGAATAAGAATGAGAGAAAACAACAATAACATCTGGGCATTCCTATCTGCTTTCTTGGAGGGCAGCTTACAAAGTGTGTGAAGATCCAAAGAGTGGCGTGGTGGTCAGAACACTGTGCTACACATGGAAAATGCAGGTTTCAAGCTCCTGCCCTGCTCAAGAGTCTCGGAGCGAGACACTGAATTTGTTCCGGCTGCAAGGATGGTGGCTTTGAATCATTATCCAGTTGAACCTCAGTATTCTCAGACGGATCTCATATATATGGAAATCATTCTCATTTCTAGCATCATCAAATACGGCTGCTTGGTCAATGGCTGCTCGTCCAAAATGATGGCAGAAGATGTACAAAGAGTGATAAAGTCTGTGTAAGAGGGGATGGTTTGGTGCATGTCAGGGTCAAAATAACATCACATGTCAACGTTGACTTACCTGAGTATGTTGAGTTACATCACATAAGTTATGACATGTATGTATATAATATATATATATAATTATATATACACATAAGTTACATGACATGCCATAATATTGGGGTTTCCTGAAAAAGCCCCAAAAGTCTACAGTGACATATAGGGGTGTAACGATTCATCCACTGAATCGATTAATCGATTTATATTCCTGCGATCCAACTGAATCGATCTGTGCTCCGCAAATCGACATTCCGGACGACATATATCGATTACAAATCGATTGAAATGGTACATAATCGATTGTATCGATACTTGGAAACTGCACATTGGATTTAAGTCCAAAAACGGTGTGGATGTGTGTTTGTTTGTTTGTTTTTTAGCACTTTGGACACGTTAAACGTTACTGGATTCAGTCTGTCTGTGACGTCATCAGTACGCAGCGGCAGCCGCGCGAAACAACAAAAAACACAGCGTGGAGGAGACGACTGCGAGACATTTACAAACCAACTTATCGATCCAGTGGAAACATTTTGGCTTCTGCAAACACGGAGGTGTTCTAAATAAGTCGGTCGCTGTTTGTAGAATATGTAGAAGCCAAATAAAAAAACAGGGAAACCCGACGAATCTTTCCGGCCGTCTACTAAGGCGCCGTGGGATGAAACAACGCCGACAGTCAGGACCTCTAGCAGCGTCACCGCTGCAGCAGCAGCAGGTAACTGCAGCTCTGCAGACGCCTCAGGCCTCGCCAGCACCAAACTCACATCACAGTAACAGGTTTATCTGTAAAGACATGCGACCCTACAATGTGGTTGAAAATCCGGGGTTCTGTGAATTGATCCAAACATTGTGTAATTATTGTGTAATGTTTACATTGAAGATGGCACTTGATTCAAATAAAAGGTTAATACATTTGCCATTAATTGTTGTTTGCTTGTTTATAATATCCATAATTAATTTAAACCTGATTTCCTTACAAGAAACAACAGGGATCTCAGAAACTTTGCCTGCAGTGTCCAGTAAAGTTACTGAATCGATTTCAAGTCACTGAATCGAATCGAATCGTTCTAAATTAAAACCAGATCGTCCATGAATCGCGATTCGAATCGAATCGTTGCTAAAATGAATCGTTACACCCATAGTGACATAGCAGTTTTAGCAAGTTACATACGTTAAGCAAGAGTACATAAGTTATCCCACGTATCATTACATAACTTGTGTTTTGTAACATAGCATAATGTCGGATTGGACGTAAGGGTCTAAGACACAGGAAGTTCTGCAAGAAGACATGTGTTCAAGTCCTGTGTGGACTTACAATATGCACATACAATGTAGCCTACTCAACTATGCAACAACGTTACTCTTCACTCGCGCTACAATCTTTTCCTATCTAACCACAGGGTTTTGTTGCCTAAACCCCCAGGTTTAACAAACGGACACAGACGCTTGGCCACTGACCAAGCTGCCATGTTTGAAGAGTGGCGAGAGACAAGATGTTGCTTATGGGTCTTCATCATCTGCTACAATTGTCTTTATTTGAATCACAAAAAAATGGATCCACACTCGGCACCTTTCTCATCTTCTGTTTTCTTCAATTTCTGTGTCATGGTGTGGTTACATTTGGAAAAATATATTTTTTTAAGGTAGAGGTTGGAGGCAAGCCATTGGAATCGCACGAATAGACATGAATAAAATCCATTTCAATACCAAAAAAACAACATTTTGGTCCATGGTGTAAATCGCGTTAGAAAAGATTCATATTGTCTCCCCAACCTCAAACGGGGGGGATAGTTCTTTACATGTTGGAAGACCTTCATCTAGAATACCCTAAATTACCTCTGATATATAGCCAAATATTGCGAATACTGTGCGAGTTCAAATGCACATATTTGTGCAAAGATTGTGTGCTATAAAAGCTCAGACAGGTGTCTTTAATCTTGAAGTTTTTAGAAAAGTTTCCCACAGTAGAACGACACTAAGGACGACACTAAGAAGGCATCAGCTGTATAGAGGACCTTTTTGTTAATTAATACACATAAATGCACACGTCACAAAAGCCATAATGTCAGAAAGACGAACCCACAGGCCTTGGACTGTGTGTGCCGTCCCGGGTGCGGGGGGGAAACTGAGTACTGGCTGCTCAGGTGCCCCCACCCCAACCTTTTTTCATCTGTACAGTGTTATCCGTGCGTCCACTTTTCCCATCTGCCCCTCGTTTCAAGGCTCACCGTTGAAGCTACAGGTCGGTGAGGTCTCGAGGGAAGTGGGTGGTGGGTGGGGGTCGGGGGGCTGCGCCGAGTCGGACACAGTGCTCCACCATGCTTCGCCTGAGACAAACTGTGAAAACGCTACTGTGCTCTTCTGTCCTCCGGGGCTACCGACGCTGCTACCATGCAGTAAGTAAACGGCACCACCGGGAGGCTGTGTGTGTGTGTGTGTGTGTGTGTGTGTGTGTGTGTGTGTGTGTGTGTGTGTGGTACAAACGTAGGCCAGGCAATGGTTACATCAGGTCCTTGCTACAACCATTCAATCTGTAAACAGGACTTTTAGTCTTCATTTTTTATGTACAGATGAAGCTGAAAAGAAGCTTCGACCCCCCCACCTGTAATCTTCTTTAAAATAACCAGTGTCTCAGTTCTAGACCTGAGCCAGTGGCAGTCTGTGTATCCCAGAGGCTTCTTCCTCTCTTTCCAGTCGCTGATAAATCAGTTGTTATGAGATAACCCAGGAGTGGATCATACTGGAACACAAGAAGAAGAAACAGGAAACGGTCAGTGAAGCAACACTAGCAGGCAGGAAGTGACAAAGTGAGAATGAACAATAATTCGATGGCCTGCTTGGAGCGTTCGGATCAAGCTTCATAGCTTTGTGTGCGCGCTCAAATTCCATAAACAATATCCAAACATTTCATTGATTCATCTCCATTCTGCTGTCAGATGAATAAACAGTCTGTTTGTCTCCTTGGAAGTGAGAGGCTCAGAAGTGGACTTATCTTTCCTAGTCGCTGACAAAGCTTCTTCAGTCAGCATCTGCATAATTCAGAGTAACACAGCCCTCATCGGGCCGCCACAAAAACCACACAGGGGCTTCTGCAATAAGGCAATCTAATCCAGGCCGTCCAATTTGAGTGACACATCCGTGAGTATCGCTCTTATACTTAAACAGTCTTTCTTAACGCTTGGAAGCTTTCACAGCTGAAACTATTTGATGTTATCGAGGGGAAACAGAGAAATCCTGTGTTCTCCTAATCTACCAGCTACATGCGGCCACATGGCGGAGCTTCAGAATGTGTGCAAACCGACATGAGAACACCATAAAAATGGTCATTTCCAAAATGTATTTGTTTTCCATTTCTTTTTGATCAATTTCTTATATGTTTGGATTTACATAACTTTAACAAGTAACTTCTGACTTTGAAATGACAGACAGACATATGGGTTTGCCTGAGACAGTAAAGGTACAGAAAAGCACCTGCAACTTTTATCAGGACTCTGAGGCGGGCAGGAAAGATCGTAGCCGACCCCTCTCACCCCGGACTCAGGCTCTTTGAGTCCCTTCCCTCAGGCAGGAGGCTGTGGACCATCAGGTCGTTTTTTTTCCATCAGCAGTTGGTCTCATGAACCAAGTCCATGTCCCCCATTGACCCAAACACTTCTCTGTCTCTGGAACACAGTGGTTTCTCTCACCATGGAAACATATGGACATACATACGTGTTTTAACTTACTTATCTATTTATATTGTCAATTCTTGCTTGTATATTTTTAACTCTCACTTTATTATTGTTTTATACTAACCCATAGCCTTATTCTACTAACCCATTGCATTAGCATTTCATTTTACCTTATTTTATTACTTGTGCACTGCTGTCTTGTTGTCTATTGTTACACTGTCTACTGTCACGCACCAACCGCCAAGACAAATTCCTTGTATGTTTGACATGTATTGGCAATAAATGTTTCCTGATTCCTGATTATTATATTTTATTCTTACATCAGCTTCTGCCCCCAATTTGCTTGACATACTCTAATTGTTTTGTGAAAACATAGTGATCTGTACTGTGTATCGGGAAAAAGAAAATTGTAAAAGATTGCATGAAACAACAACCGAAGAGCCAGAAATCCCAGATTGGCTCTCAACACTTGTCTGACTGAGCTGTGATTTGACAAGAACAGATCAGCACCTCGCTGATGAGGCTTCCCGAGGCCTGTCAGAGTTCCCAACACCTCTGGTAATCTCTGCTGGGGAGAAGACTGCCAATTCACAACTATCCATGGCTAGAGAGGGAGACAGGAGAGGGTACATGTGAAGGGAGTGACCGACAGTCCAGGAGTAAAAAGATGGCTCCTGCTCTGAGATTTGAGACATTAACCAAACATAATGCATGCTAAAATAGGAGTTGTGTGTGATACTGCAGTAAAATAATATTGGGAATATTTATGACAATTTCCTTTCTTTTTTAAAGTCAGTTAGGCTACATAATAATAATATAATAATGATTTATTTTCCAAGCCTTGTTTAATTTTGGTTTACATGTTTTTATTATTTTATACTTGGGGAAACATGAACAATAGTAGAAACTGTATTTGTGTTTGAATGTTTTCATCGTTTAACCCATTCAAAGCAAAGTCATTTCAAACCTAATCGTAATGAATCTTCTTGATACAACATCAACAAACTCCCATGTAAACCTGTTTGCATTATTATTACTTAGTCAGAGCCACTCCGATGATGAAGAGCATGATAGTTTAGTTTGAAAAAAAGCTTATAATTATAGTTATTATAGTTAGCCAGTTTATTGCCTCAGTGATGTTAATCATATGATTTAATTTGCTTCTGGTGGTGTTTATTTTTTTGTCAGCCAATGCAAGAGTATAAAATCATATAGTATAAACAAACTAAAAACTGTAATTCAAGTGTCCAAAATTGTTTTTGGTTATCAGTCAAAAACCCACAAGCGTCTTCCATTCCAACCTCATAATGCCAATGGCGACGAACATTTCAAATTCAATCTGGTTCATTGACAAACACTCACACTTCAGTGAACATTGTGATACAAGTGAAAACAATGCATTTGCTTCTGCTTCACTGAAATAATGCATTGTTTCCATGACCACGTACTGGTCCACATCGCGTTGGCCGCACCACCTATTCATTGAAAACATTCCCTACGGAGCACTTTCCCTTCATTCGTAGATGTCTTTCAACAACTGCTCAGTTAAAGAGCCCAAGTTAACCCAAGTTGTGTCTATGAATAATATTGAATTTGTTCATCTCAGGTGAAATCAATATGATTAAAGATGGACACTATGCTGAGGGGTAAAGATTGACAGTAAAGGTGGTGTTGTTGCACTGGGTTTGGGGAGCTCTCAGATTTTCAACCCATGAGAATTCAGGCGTATTTAACATTATAACCTCATTTGACTGTAAACTCAACAAAGCCAAATTGTTGTTAGGAAAACATGTATACATACTAGAGCTGGGACGGTAACATTTCCGTACATATGAGTTTCTCCCGTATTGTTCATACATTGGGTTTGTAAAATCCAACGTAAGTTACGTTACATCATCAAGCTAACTCGCTGGCCAGTTGCGAGCAAGTTGGCCAGCGAGCAGCGAACAGCTGTCTGTGTAGCCGCGGTCCTTTTCGGCGTCAATTAATTCATGTGTTTTCTCGAAAAAGCAACACGTCACATACAGAGATACCGTCAGAATTGTTGTAAATTCTGTGATATGGATTTTTGGCCACACTGCACAGCCCTGATGCATACCGTTACATAGTAACAGATGAAAGCGTGACAGCTCCTCAAAAGTGAAGTCAAACCATCTTGATCGCCCCCTGGTGGCTGGCTGCCGCATAGGTCCTCCATATTAGCGGATGGGCATACATTTTATGTAGTTCTTATCACACTTATGTATGTTGGCTTCATTTTTGTAGAGTGGAGCGGTGTCGTCCATCTTCCATTTATTTGAGTGTGTATAAATGTGTGTCTATCCTCCTGCTGTGCCCAGGTTGACAAAGTCAATAGTGATAGAGTCATTCCATCTGCACCAGATAAGCTCCACTGAACAACCAAAAAGGGGGCTTTAAAACGACACGGCACCCAGGTGTGGATGCGATCACTGAGGTGGAGCTGTGTGTTCATCAGCGCGTTGGAGAGGGCTTGCACACTTGCATGTAGATGTGGGTTTGGCTCCTGTATGTGTGTGTATGTTGATCAGGGAAGTATCATTATTTTGGGAAGTGGCGTAGGATATTAAGGTCTTAAGGAGTGTGAGAGCGGAGTATGTCCAAATATAATATAATATATTATATTAAGTCAGGAATAATGCATTGAAAAAGAAAAAGAGAAAAAAATTCTTTAACAAATTTAAATAGGCATTAAAAGTTTTCTTTTGATTTTAAACTGTAATGATGAAGCCATTTCTATCAAAAGCCAAGACTTACACTACAAAGTGGCTTGTGTGCCATATAATTGATTTAGTGTTTCTACATGTGTGATATTGCTGTGATAAATATAACATCCCTTTGAACAAAGTACAATACTGGTATATACTGGTACAGTACTGGTCAACAAGCCACTGTGTAACCATGTTCACTCGTAGCATTGTCACACTAATCCAAGAACATCTCAATGTTAAAGTTTTGGGCTACTGCTGTCATATCTCACAGGTAAAAGCCACAATTTCAAACCATTTAGTCAGTGTTTTATGGCACATTAAGAGAAAAGGCATTCATGCAGAAAACAAACTGTTGGGGCCCTATGGAAGTTCCTGCAAGGAACTTTCCTTTTGTGTTAAATATGGTGCCACATGTTTACACCGGTGGTGTTGTTTCCATCAGCGCAAGCGTGCCTCGTAATGCATGTTACTGCAGTGGGATCTCCCTGTCTTGCCAGCTCTGTCCTGGTTCTGTGCTTCCTGTCCCTCCAGCGTGCCCTGGGCCTCCAGCATTAGGGTTACTGTTGCCTCTCATTGAGGTGGGTGGTGAGCTCAAGCTTCTGCAGACTCTGACGAAACCATTTCTCCTGCTGTGGCTCTCCTCTGTACCCCAGGAGTTGGCACACAGTGGAACTTAAGGTCAAAGTCAATGTACAGGTCGTTCTGGGTAAAAGTCCATAGCTTTGGTTGGTCCTTCGTAAAAGGACCGGTGGACCGAGAAAGGTTGAAACTCTTCTCCTGGATAGAGGAGATGTCTAAAGGCCTGTCGCTGCTGGAGACCCCACTTGAGTGTGAGCAGAAGGAGTTTCAGGGGACCTGCATGTAAGTCATTTCACCTAATATCACGGGGGAGTCGTTGACAGGGTGATAGAGTGAGTCAATCATCTCGCCGATGCCCATGTTTATTTCTGTAGACACACTGAGTCATCAGAATGAAGTTACTGTTCCTTGGAGCAACTCTAAGAAGAACACTATCTTGAATAAAAATTGTAATAAAAAAAGCAAATGTACCTTTTAGTGTTTCCACTGATAAGACCTTAGAGGGATATATCCAGGTTCCACACACTGCACCACATGACACATGGAAGAAGAATCCGGATTGATTAGTTACAGCATTATTAGAAAAGTACAGGAAAATTGTGTAAATTATTATAATGTAACAGGCAGAACATTTTAGCAGACACGCATATAATCATTTGCATTTCCTAAATGAACACTATCATTTACATTATTCTCTAAAAAACGCAGGATAGGGTATCAACATGTAGGCATTTTATAGATCTGTTATCCACCTAAGCGTTCTGGTAGTGCTTGTTAATGTAATAAAGAATCCAATTCTCTTAACATCACATTTATTAACAGTATCGGGCCGCAAGCTGACAGATCAGTATGCGTGAGAACGTGGTTGCCAGAGAAAGTTAGTTTATACAGTGATTTGCACTCACATCGTTTTGCGGTGATTCAGAAATTCAACCTAGAAAAATTTGTGCTAGAAATTGTTTGATTTGATAAATGTAATGTTTTTACGTGTAATATCATTGTCCCACAACTCGTGCTCCATGCTCACCAGTACAGATAGTAGAAGAAGGAGAGCACGAAGAAGGACAGCTTGCACCAGGCCTCCTTCAGGCAGAACTTAAGCGTGTCGCCATTCATGACCGATGCCGGGTCGTAGAGTAGCTCCTTCGTGTCCGTTGGGGAATGGAAGTACCTACCACAGAGGGCAAAGACCAAATCGCGGGTAGATGACCCGTTCCACACCAGAAGGGGGGGGGGGGGGGGTAGGCGGAGATGATGGGAGGAAGTGTGGGGGGAGGGGGGTATGGAAAAAAAGATGGCATGATGAGTTAGGAAGACATGGTCATGCAGCAGATGAAATTGGTGGATATGTTTGTGGAAATTTAGCTGAACCTCTTTTCTGAACAGACGTTCGATTGTAAAAGTAAAGGTGTGAGGAATTGATTAAATTGCGTCTTTAGTTACCCGTTACCATAGCAGTCATCTACTTATGTTATTGTTTGGGTAAAAAACTAAGCTGGTTACAAATGACACTTTCATTGTGAACGCCAATGTTTTTCTCACATATTCATCCATGAAGATGAGTACTTCATCCGGAAGTCTCGTAGGCTAAAAAAATAGTTAGAATTGCACTTCTCTTAACCCCAAATAAGAGCATTTTTTGGGGTTGAACCTAACCAACTAGCTTTGTTGTGCAGGTAACACAATTGAATACAATACTTCCAGAGACTGCCAAAGATTGGTTTGGCCAAGAAAACAGGGAATTGGATCGTTGGTATTTAAATCATTATTAGTAAACTGTAGACATCTGTGGCATTATGGAAATGGAAAACAGAGGAAAAGTATTTCCCTTTGTGTCAGTGCACAAAAACTGTGACTGAATCAGATCAGAAATGGTGCTAATTATTTAAGTCAACCCTCATCAGTAGCAACATTTTCCATTTTTACAGCAGTATTATACAAGCAGATGTGTCACTTGTGTCTGGCGAAGTATTTGGATGCATATTCAAATATATTTTCACCCTGGTCACGTATGTGTATCCAATTCTATCAGGGCTGGGGTTTATTCCACTGAATCCAGCTCAGTAAGTAAAATACACCTCCTAAATGCTGTGCATAACATTTTGAATTTCAGATAAAACGTCAATTTTTTTACCTGCTGACTGATTTAAAACACCCCTCGTGAATCCACTATATAATACGATAAAATATAATAACAGCAGGTGCCCATAGCAAAATCAATATCCGTAAACAGTAAAGCTCTGTGAAATGAAGATGCGCCAAAGAGAAAAACCTGTCTGTCATTAATAACACTTTGGATTTGGGGAATTGTGGAATATTTCCTGGAGCTTTAACATCCATTTATAACTTCTTTTTTGGGGGTTGTTGCACAGAGCAAGGGAAGTCACCATGAGGTAAAGAGAGGAGGGAACTACAGCTGCCGCCTTTTGCTATGAGAGAGAGCTGTTATGTAATGATACACGAATGCCTCATTACGTTTTACAAGGGAAATTGGTATTTCATGGACCCCAGAACTGACACAAATGGACATGATTTTGTATTAATGGATTTTTGTATATTAATGTAAGACCAGTTGCATTGACGTAGTGGGGCCTAACCCTAACTTGCCAACAGGTGCTTAATGTATGTACACATGTTCATGATAATACATTTAGTAGTCATGAATGAATTATAATGTACATTTACTAATTCAGTTGGTCATTTAGATGAGTTATGCATATACAATATCTTCAACAATGGCCTTGAAAATGACTACCGGTGTTTATGTGATGAAAAGGCTTTGTAATGAGTAGCTGAATATAATATTTACAGTAGCTACATGAACAGATGACTGATGATGAAGGGGAACAAGGTTAGCAAATACTTAACAAACATTCATACAATTAGCTAATTGTACGTCAGTATTAAAGTTCTATTGACAACAATCGTTTCATAATTAACCTGAATATACATATTTATTTTACAGACATCAAGTCAAAGACTTGATGACCTATGTCAGTATAAATGACAAAACATACACATACAAAAAGTTACAACCGCCCTTTATTTCTTCACTTTCCAAAATGTCCGTCCTGTAGTTTGAAAACTTGCTGGTCCTCTCATTGTCCACACACACACACAAAACCATTTAGACTAATAGGATTCATGGCGAGCCACTCTAATTCTAACGGACTGGTTTTCTTGACCAGCAACATGCACTTCCACCTACATACTGCTCCCCCTGTCACGCTTACACCTTCCTTTGTTTTAAACATTTAGCAGATTTCACAGTGATGACCACTATATAATGGACAAAAAGTTCAATAAACTAAAAAGAACATTATATCTGGAAAGACACATGTTAAATGTTATTGATTTTTTTGGGGTGGGGGGTGGGGAGGGGCAGAGTAAGAAAAACATTTTTCTTTTTATTTGACTTTTTCTGTAAAAATATTTTATTTGGAAAACAGACTGACTAATACTCCCATTGGCCAGCTACCCACCCCCTCCCCCCCCCGAAAGTATTTGTGTTTGCGTTTTGTAGATCTGGGCTCTTAAGAGTCGCCCCCCCTCCTCTTGCTCCCCAAGAACAACAAGACAACAACCCTGCAGAGCATCACATCGACGCGTGGACTAAAGATTGAGTAGCTGTGCATGCCGTCGTCCACATATACAGACTACAATCGATACGTCTCTCACTCTCCTCTGAATCACCTTGTCAACATTAGATTTCTCCCCCATCACTCACTCCCGACTCGCTGTCCAGCCTCCTCCTTCTCTGTCTCCTTCACTCTCTGTGCAGGAAGCAGGATGTGTGGCCGCCGGGCATCTGGCACAGTCTCCAATTAATGAGACTGCGCTCTCTTTGGCTCTCCTCAAGTCGCATCTCCCCTCAGCCTGTAACTCCAACCAGCTGAGCACATGAGCTGAAACCAATCAGGCTGCCAGCAGTCTTCATTCAACTCCCAACTGGAGCAAAGTAAAGGCAACAGAGGAAAAAAGCAAAGGAGCAGCGAAGGAAATCTTAAGATGTGGTGACCCATTTTTCAGACACTGCCTTGAGATGAGTTACTGGCTCAACATCTACTGGCCTTTAACCACCCGTTTCCTTCAGTCCAACTAAGGCAAGACATTTGCATGGTTCAATTAAACATGTGCATAGCATACAGTATATTCCATCCTCATACATCTCATTCTTCTGTACAACTCCTTGACCTAAAGCTATCACAAAGGCATCAATGCTGTTGTACTGTTTTTTTTCTGTCTTCATGCTATCCGAGCAATGCCGTTTAGGAAACAATTAACATTTGAAGAATTAAACTATACATTATCTTGGTATTTCTGTAATCATTGGGAAATGAATTTGGGGCCTCAAAAAAGGAAGAAAAGTTGTAATGTGTTTTAGACGGAACTACCAGTATTAGTTTTGATCTTTATGTTTTAATCTCACAGGATTTGTTGACACACTACGGGAAAAATAGTTGCGCTCTACTTTTGAAAATTAAAAATGTACTGTATAGTAACTTCCTTGAGTTGTAGCATGTTTAGTAACATTTAGTATGGTTGGGCAACCAGGGGTCCGTTTCAAGAAGGAGGTTTAACAAATGAGTTTTGGGTTTCAGACCAGCTGTTCAGAGTTGGTTCAATCAACTCTGAGTAGGTTGACTCAGAGTTGAGCGCGTGCACCACCACAGTATGAAGGCAGCATGAATGGAGCCATGATACTACGAGTTACCCTGACAACCACCACAAACAAAATATTCACCCCTATTGAGCTGCAAATATTAATGCAAGCGTACAACGAGTATGAACCCGTAATTAGAAAGAAAAGCAACACGCTACTGCAGCAAACCTACGGACCTACGCCAGGATCCTATTTGTGGACTTCAGCTCTGCCTTCAACACCATCATCTCGTCTCTGCTGCAGGACAAACTCTTTCAGCTACACGTGCCCGACTCCACCTGCAAGTGGATCACAGACTTCCTGTCTGACAGGAAGCAGCACGTGAAGCTGGGGAAACATGTCTCAGCCTCTCGGACCATCAGCACCGGTTCCCCCCAAGGCTGCGTTCTCTCCCCTCTGCTCTTCTCCCTGTACACCAACAGCTGCACCTCCAGTCACCAGTCCGTCAAGCTCCTGAAGTTTGCGGATGACACCACCCTCATTGGACTAATCTCTGGTGGGGACGAGTCCGCCTACAGGTGGAGTCTGACCATCTGGTGTCGTGGTGCAGCCAGAACAACCTGGAGCTCAACGCTCTAAAGACAGTGGAGATGGTTGTGGATTTCAGGAGGAACAGAGCCCCACCCTCCCCCATCACCCTGTGTGACTCCCCCGTCACTATTGTGGACTCCTTCCGTTTCCTGGGCTCCATCATCACCCAGGACCTCAAGTGGGAGCTGAACATCAGCTCCATCAGCAAGAAGGCTCAGCAGAGGTTGTTCTTCCTGAGGCAGCTGAAGAAACTCGACCTGCCAAAGACGATGATGGTCCACTTCTACACGGCCATCGTGGAGTCCATCCTCTGCTCCTCCATCACCGTCTGGTACGCTGCAGCCACAGCCAAGGACAAGGGCAGGCTGCAGCGTGTCATCCACTCTGCAGAGAGGGTGATCGGCTGCAATCTGCCGTCCCTGGAGGACTTGTTCGCTTCCAGGTCTCTGAAGCAGCTAAAAAGATGGTAGCCGACCCCTCTCACCCCGGACAAAACCTGTCTGTGCCCCTTCCATCTGGCAGGAGGCTGAGGTCCATCAGGACTAAGACCTCCCGCCACACCAACAGTTTCTTCCCGTCGGCAGTCGGGCTCATCAACAGAGCCGGTCCCCCACTGCCTGACTATAACATCCCACCGGTCACTCCCCTTCACACTGCACATGTCACTTTAACTGTCATTTATCACTCGTCACTTGTTCGATAGTGCACTTTATTTTTTAATTTCTTTAAATATTTTTAATTTAACTTTTTAAAATATTTTTAACTTTAACTTTGTTCTTTTATTTTATACTAACCCATAGCCTTTCTAATAACCCATAGCATTAGCATTTCATTTTATTACTTGTGCACTGCTGTCTTGTTGTCTATTGTTACACTGTCTACTGTCACGCACTAACCGCCAAGACAAATTCCTTGTATGTTTGACATATTTTGGCAATAAATGTTTCCTGATTCCTGAAAAGACAGAGAAACGGCGTAAGTTCCAATATAGTATTGTCAGTTAATATTTAACGTACACACTCATCATAATCCATACGTTTTACTAATTCCCAGTGAGAGCACGTCCACGATGGGGGACGTTAGTTATATGAGGACGGATGAGGTCATGGACATATTTGATGGACTGTGAAGAAAAACGATACCGTTCAAACAAGTAGTTATCTGCAAATGACAATATATTTAATCAGGCCTCAATATTCTCTCGTGACGTGTTTAACACCCTGCGAAGTAAAAGCGCTTCTTCCTCAACAGGATCGTCCAGAAAAGGACGCGACGTGTTCCAATAAACACTTTAGTCTTTAACGTAACATCTTATTTTGTTCATATGTGTAAACTGCGCTACAATCCGCCTGATACAGAGTGAATGAATGAATGAGGAAATGAAAGCACGCTGTGTGATTGGCTGGGCTGCTGTCAGAGGGAGGAGACTGTGGAAGGAGAAAGACCAGGTGATGTTCACAGGCTCAGTTACCATGGTGACTGACCCTGAGCTTTAATTACCTCCCTTTGTGAAACAGAAAAGCCAGAGTTTCCCTCATCTCAGGGTGAACAAACTCTGAGTTTCCACTAAACCCGCTTCTTGAAACGGACCCCAGGACTATTACAAAACAACTAAACTGTATTTCATTTCTATTCCCAATTTTACTTAAAATAAGACGTTTCTTTCATCTTACCTCCTGGGAGAAAAATGTGGTATGGATGTATATCCATGCAAAACCTTCCCAAAATGGGGATCTCCATGGAATATGTTTATAAACTGGACTGCACTGTATATTATTTGTCACAAATATAATGCAATCCGGAAAAAAATCAAGAACATAATAAATAATAACAGAATTTTTCACATCAAGAATGATGTCTGTAGGTCGTCAAGCCCATAAGTTCCGAATGGGTAAAAAAGCAACTTTATATCAAACTAGGATGTTCATGTGCATGAATACAGATATTCTGCAACAGAGATAATTTAAACCTGCTGAAGGCCACATTTAACTCTTGCAATGGACCACAAACGCGCGCGCACACACACACACACACACACACAGCGAACACCAACTTCTTTGAGAGGACCCTCACTGACGTAGCACATTCCCCTTTATCCTAACTATCACAGCTAAGTGCTTAACTCCAGCCCTCTCACTAAACTCAGCGTTCCTCACTATGTAGACCTTTAGCCCCCCCCCCCCACACACACACACACACTTTATGATTGCATAGTCACCTCCACGTGTTGTAGAAAAGCAGGGGGATGTTGAGGCCCACCGTCAGCCACTCCTGGGCACACAGGAACATAATGCAGAAGAGTCCATGGATGGAGTACTCTGGTAGCACCAACTACAAAGAGACAGCGGAGGAACGGGGATGATTCAAAGGGAAGTGGAGTACAGCAAAGAGTAACCGCTTATTCAGTCTTAAATCACTGATTGTCCTGCTCCCAAACTGCAATTGTGGTGATTAGTGTTACTAAATACTGATACTGCTTTTCACTAAGAAAAGATCTGCAGAAATGAAACAACGCTATTTTAAACTTAACTAAAGGGCATGTTGGTTAGCAGAGGCCACATTACCATTTAGAATATCTGCAGGTGCAAGAAAACACCTCAAATATCTGCATTAACATTCAAATCCTTAGTCCAGTCTATATTTAGACATTGCAAATCTGTCTATCTGCCAGCATTCCAAAAGGCTAAATGCCCCCCCATCTATATTATGGAGAGCTTAACTTCACAATCGACTGAGCTCCATCTTTATCATAATAACTGTAGGGCTTGGCCCTCGGAATGCAGGAAGCAAGACCAAGGCCATTGACAACTTCCCCCTTGAGCAAGAAGGCCTAATTTTCAAAATAGTTAAAAGAAGCTTATTTATGCTGTTTCATAATAAGCCGTAACAAAAGTTGGAACCATACCATGCACCAGTCCAACGAATACAAAGCTAGGCCATACAAAAAGAGTGATTTTATACCCTACTGAAATGTCTTGTCTTGTGTCTGCATTCATCATTGACCATGATAGAGACCTTTTACCATTACCCTAAGCTGTAGCATTGGGTATGAAAGGACGGGTCTATGCCCCAATCCTTCTATTGGACCATTATTTAATGCTGTGATATGCGATACGCAGCCTAACACAGGCTGGAGGTGTGGTCTTCCCCTGTTCATCCCCGAAGGGTGTGGCTGGAACAGCTGACAGCAATCAGCCATCAGAGGCCTCTACATCAACCCAGGTCTTCCTGCCTTTTGTTCAGTCATAACGTGATACGATATAGTCCGGATCAACGAATCCGCTAGCTTTTGATTTAGGTTTGAATATGTACCTGCAAATGTCGCAATATTTCCTGTTGATCGGACACTGTGATACGTTTTGCTGCAAGGGATTGAAAGCGCCAACTGTATTACGCTGTTGAAAGATTTTATGGTCAGAATAGTCTTATTTTCTTTTCGATCTTGGATCGCTTTTCCCGGGTCTCCGCTGCGAGATCTGTTTGCCTGTGGTTTATTTGGTAGCGCAAGCTACATCGTTTGTTTCCGTAACTGTGCACACATCGGTCCGACCATACGGATTCACGTTGCTGATCTACGTTCCGCTGGTCGCGGGTCAGAATCTCCTCGTGTCCGTTAGTTGCCCTCTTTTTCTAAGCCGTAGCCTATAGCAACAGATGGCGTTGCCATAGCAGTGTGACTTTGTCTCCCTCTGTGGTTTCGGTCACGTGGGCCACTTCCTCGCATTCCGCTCCGGCCCGCCCCACGCGTTGAGTAGTTGCATGACACTGTTTGGCATTATCGTCTTCCTCGATGTTTCACTACGTGGAACACTTCCCTGCATTTCGCTCTCGCTCGCCCCCGCGTCGAGTAGTTGTATTACACCGCATTCCCGCCTTCCTCGGTGGTTTGATTTAACGGTCTCACTTCCGCCCCGCTGCTCTCGCTCGCCCCCCTAGTGTGATAATCGGCACTCCGCTTGTTGTTGCTGCAGAGGTTGAATGGCGGTAGCAGGGAGACCTGCCAGGAGGGAGTTGCAGTAGTCCAGGCGTGAGATGACAAGAGCCTGAATCAGTACCTGGGCTGCCTTCTGAGTGAGAAGAGGACGTACGCGCCGGATGTTTTAGAGAGTGTATCTACAGGATCGTGTTGTCGCAGTAATGTTGGGAGTCAGGGAGAGTTGGCTGTCGATTGTGACGCCGAGGTTCCTAGCAGTCAAAGTGGGTGTTAGCACAGAGTTGCCAAAGTTGACAGTCAAGTCCTGGGTCGGAGAGTCTTTTCCTGGAAAGAGAAGTAGTTCAGTCTTGTCGGGGTTGATTTTCAGATGGTGGGCGGACATCCACTGAGAGATGTCAGTCAGACAGGCAGAGATCCGTGCCGCCACCTGGGTGTCCGAGGGAGGGAAGGAGAGAATTAGTTGTGTGTCATCTGCATAGCTGTGGTAGGAGAAGCCATGGGAGCGAATGACAGCACAGAGAGAGTTGGTGTAGAGCGAGAAGAGAAGGGGACCCAGGACGGAACCCTGAGGAACTCCCGTAGTAAGAGGACAAGGTTCCGACACAGATCCTCGCCAGGTTACCCGGTAGGTGCGGCCGTCGAGGTAGGGGGAGAGAGCAGAGCCTGAGACACCAAGTTCCTGAAGGGAGGAATTAAGGATCTGGTGGTTGACTGTGTCAAATGCAGCAGAGAGGTCCAGAAGGACGAGGACAGAGGAGAGAGAGGAGCTCTAGCAGTGTGGAGTTGCTCTGAGACAGCAAGGAGAGCAGTCTCTCTGGAACGGCCTTGAAGCCTGACTGGTGAGGGTCAAGGAGGTTGTTACGGTGGAGATAGGAGGGGAGTTGGTTAAAGATCGCACGTTCAAAGGGAAGAAGAGAGACCGGTCTATAGTTGTTTTCTTCAGAAGGGTTGAGGGTAGGTTTCACTCTTGCCTCCTTCAGAGAATTGGGAAAACAGCCAGATAACAGAGCGTTGTTGATGAGACAGGTGAGGAAAGGAAGAAGGTCAGGTGCGATAGATTGTAGAAGATGTGATGGAATGGGGTCAAGAGGGCAGGTGGTTGGACGGGCAGAGGTTACTAGGGTAAGAATTTGGTTAGGAGAGAGGGGGGTGAAAGAGGAAAGTGAGGGCGATAGAGGTGAAGTCAGTGGGACGCAGGAAGTAGGAGGTGGGTTTGAGAAAGAGGAGCGTATGTCAGCTATTTTCTTGGTAAAGTAGTTGACAAAGAAGGGTGGAGGGGGGAGGAGGACTAGAGGGTTCGAGGAGAGTGAATATCAATTATGAGACTTGATTTATAGTATCGGTTAGTAGTCCCTGTTAGCTCAGGGTGGTGCCCCGTTATTTATTCATTCTGAGAAGTATCTTTGTGATTATTAATGTCCATAAGTTAGTTCCTCATTTGCTATTAGCCTAATACGACCCCCCCTAGCCGCTCCCAACAGCGCTTGGGTCCACGTCCATTTACCTTACTATAACAAGTTAGACTTCCATCTCACCTGCAACATTCCCAGGTTCTGGTTGATCACAGCGATCAACCAGAATGAACTAGAAGATATAATCCCTCAAGTGTGTCCTGGGTCTTCCCAAGGGTCTCATACTTTATTACTTAATTGTTAATTGCCTTTTTGAAGCTGAGCAAATCAATGCTTTATAAAAACATTGGATAACATTTTTGACTCTTCGTGACAAACCAACATATTTTCACCCGACTGGACTTCAGCTCTGCAAAGCATTCACCTTTTTAAAGTTGACGTATTACAGCCTGCAGCCGGGTAGTTGTTTCACCCTCGCCAATCTCAGCAAACCGCACAAAGACACAGTGGGAGACTTGCTGGTGAACATAACAGACCTAAAATCTAGTCTCTAGAAAGTCACATGATCCCAAAAGAATGCTTTGTCCTTGTCTGCTGGATATAAACAAATGCACCTTTTGGTTGCATTGTGAGGTCAACATTGATCAATTTTGTGAAGTCAAATACTCTAAGTAGTTCCTGATTCAAATATAGAATTTTTACAAACCACACCATATAATAAAACCGTGATATCATTTAAATGACAATAAATAGTATTTTGTATCCAGAAAAAAAAATGGTAGTAATAAATCAACAATTAAAAGAAAAAGTTTTTTGTGTTGTTCAGAAGAAGAGGGAAGATTTATATATAGAACTTGTGGCCTCAAAAAACAAAAACTCTTTGTGAAGTCACATACAATGTCAGCTGGATGAAGGTTTCTGTGATCATTCTTCTATCTATCTTCTAAATAATGATGATTGAGATGCAGAAATGGGATGAATTAAGTGGTACGGACACCACAGAAAGCCACAGTGGAGCAAATGAACAGCTTTGACACTGCACTTCTCATTTGCTCTATTAACAGTCTAATGAGGGGTTGAGCGGGGAACAAGAATCAACATGTAAACACATCCTAAATTTACATCTAAACATGCTTAGATGTAAATTCCCTCCCTGTGGGAGGGGAATTGAGAAATGTGCGCTCAGTCCTAGATTAATTGATATAAATATACAATCAACGGTAAGCAAATCCGTCTTTCTCACTTCTGTCTTTTGAGCCCCTTCCCTCTGGCAGGGGGCTGCGGTCCATCAGGACCAACACCTCTTGCCACAGAAACAGTTTCTTCCCGTGAACCAAGTCTGAGTCCCCCATTGACCCAAATACTGACTCCTCTGTTTATATTTAAATTGTGCTTGAATATTTTAATCGCATTTTACTTTACCTTATTTTATTCTCATTTCGAACCAATTAAGACAAATTCCTCTATGTGAATCACATGTGGCAATAAATGGCTTCTGATACAGTTTGAGACTTTTAATCATCCAACACCAGATGTGGCTCCTTAAAAAGACTGTTTAAAAATGTGCACGATCTTTGGCAAGCAACCAACAAAGCCCGGCTCACCAGGATGCAAAGATCACCTGCACAACTCTCCAGTAGTTTCTCACCCACCAACAAAGTCACTTCACTACTCATTTATATTTAACTGGGTGCGCGGTGACGCATTATGTTGGCCTCCTGTACGCCGTGGCCTTGGAACATTACTGCACACGCTGCCTTAACAAGGCGGTGTTCAGGATGCATTATTCAGGTGGCCACATGTCTCCTAATAATAAGAGAGAAACACATTTCACTGGATAGTTCTTCAGCAGCGGGACGCGAGGAAACTGCTGCTAAGATGAAACATAAAAGTATCCATTTGCTTTCACACATACAGCAGGGAAGCTACGCACACACACACACACACTAATGCAGCATGTATGCAGTTCATGGTGGCCAATGCACACAAGCGCTACCCGCCCCACAAGGCCAAAAAGCTCATTAAAAAACAAATAGTCCTACTGA